AGCTGTCGGACTGCTGGTAGGTGTGCCTCTTCCCCTTTTCATCTGTTTGACATATAAACTCAGAACATTATTCCGATTCAGATTCTCAAAAGTTGCTGCCAAGTGCCACAATTCAGCTTAAAACTTCACCTGAAAGCGATGCGACGATATTCTTCATTACGCCAACGTATGCTCGCCAGGTACAGAAGGCCGAGTTGACGCGACTGTCGCATACGCTACTTTTAGTGGAAAATATCCACTGGATAGTCGTTGAAGATGCACCCAATCGGACTAGTCTTGTAGCCAAACTACTTGCTGAAGCGAAGCGACGGCAGGTGAATAGAAAGTTTGAGTTTACGCATTTAAATGCGCTCACACCGAATGACTTTAAAACTGTTGATACCGATCCAAATTGGCTGAAGCCTCGCGGAGTCTGGCAGCGGAATCGAGCTATTGAATGGCTCAGAGAGCATTTTAAGGACTCGGCCAACGAAAACGGCGTCGTTTACTTTGGTGACGACGATAACACCTATGATTTGAAGCTCTTTGAAGAGATTCGCAACACTAGTCGAGTTTCAATCTTCCCTGTTGGCCTCGTAGGTGGTCTGATCGTCGAGAAGCCTCTGGTGGCTAATGATAAAGTCATCGGCTTTAACTCGGTGTGGAACCCGAAGCGAAAGTATCCCATTGACATGGCCGGCTTTGCGGTCAATCTACAGCTGTTGCTGAAGAAAGAGGAGGCCAGTTTTTCCGAGCAGGTGCCTCGAGGCTACCAGGAGACACATCTGATTAGCCAACTGATCGACTCTCTCGAGGCGCTGGAGCCAAAGGGACGTCAGTGCAAACAGGTGCTCGTCTGGCATACTAGGACGGAGAAGCCCAAGTTGCGGCATGAACGAAAGCTCAAAGTGCCCTCCACTTTTGGCATGATTGACGATTGAGTATGGTTTTTATGAGCTTTACAATTTAAATAAAAAACTCTGCTTGAATTTACCCCAAAAATGATTTCATTTTCAAAATCGTCAAGTTTCTCTCTTCGAGCCGCCTAGGTGTACATAGCGTCAGCAGTGTTTGTTTTGGCGGCTTTTTTTTTGCGCGCACATTTTGCCTTCCCTTCAGTTTTGCTTTTGCAGTATTTTCTGTTTATGTGCCTCATTGTCATCCCTTGCTTTTATCCATTTCATCTCCTCAACTTTACATTTTGATAACTTTGTGCAAAAGACTGTGGAAAAATGGTCGAAGTGGAGACTACAAAAGCCAAAGTGCGAAGCAGTATTTTATCCCGAATTGCCAGCGCTGGAATAAACCTGCCATCGCTAAATGAGCCCACCGTCAACAACTTCAAAGTGGAGTTCTTTAGTTCCCCCTCCAATAAACTTCTCGACAAACTAAGTAAGCATCGACTGAATGAGCCAGTTGTCGCGAAGAAGGAGGAAGATGTTTTTAAGTGGGGCCGCATCAAAGAGCAGATGATCGCTGACATGGAAAAGAATCGAGACGAGGAGTGGAAGAAGCAGCTGCTGGACGAGAAGTTGAACAACGAAGAGGATCTAGAAGAGGAGATGTTTGGCGATGATGATGACCTGTCTGATGAAGAAGAAGAAGAAGAGGAGAAAAAGAAGAAGGATAAGAAGGCAGGTGAAAACTTGCCAAAGGAGGAAAATGCCGACAGCGATGAGGATTATAATGAAGAAGAGGATTTAAACAGTGATGAGGAAGAGGATGAAGAGAATGATGAGGTTTTGGAAGTCGACAAACATCCCAAAACACAGAATGCCTTCATTGACGATCAAGCGGAGGAGGAAAACTCGGGCCAAAGTGATAATGAATTCGACGACGACGACGATCTATTTACCGGCATCAAACATAAAGCTCTTAAGCATAAGTTCTCCGTCATTGACGACAGTGATGAGAGCGACTTTGATGCTGATGGCGAGCAGCAGCCTACTGCCAAATTTGAGGCCGCTCTCGATAATGGCGAAAAAGGAGAAAACAACGATAGCAACGATGAATACGACAATAGCGCAAAGACTTCGGAGTTGCCTTCAAATGAAACTGCCAAATCGAGCGTCCACTCGCCTTTTCCCTTTCCCAGCCTGGACACACAGGACGACCAGGGCGTTTTTGCCCCCGAGTCGAAGCAGTTTTGCATCTCGCAGAACCTTCCTCTGACTCCACTTGACGGTAGCCAGGGAAGTCGTTCACCCTCTAACTCATCGCTCTTTGATGAGAGCAGCTTTCCCTTTGGCAGTGGCAACTTTGGCGACGACTCGCAGCTGGCTGACATGTGCTCGGGAAAGTTTGGCACTGTTCCGTCTATGTCTTCATCGGAAAAGATGTCTCCAGTCAAGGACTTTGTCGACGAAGAAGCTGCCGATGATGCTGCTGATGGTGATGACGAGGCTGAAGGTGGAGATGACATTTTAAAAGAAGGCGAAGAAGAGGCGGACGATGAGGAAGAGGAAGAAGAGGATGATGAGGAGAAACCAATCGTCATTAAGCGCAAAAAGCATCGAGTTTCGGATTTTATCGAGAATGAAGCCGAGCTGTCGGGAAGTGAAGGCGATGTGAGCAGCGATGAGGACGATGACGAGGACGATGAGGTGGATGAGGAGGAAGAGGACATTCAGGAGGACCTGCCCTCGGATGATGAACTTCGCGATCAAGTGGGCAAAATGCACAAGTAAGTTTTGAAAACGTTGCAAAGTTTTTTT